GCCCAACCTCCCTGCTCAAGCAGGTCATCCCTCTCTCTGCCAATATGGGAAGCCATGTTCTACTTTCTGCGTTCATAAAGGGCAAAATTTGACACCAGTTTTATATGATAAAGGCAAAAATAATTTAGTCCATGGAATTAAAAATCATTAATTTGATGTAAAGACTGAAAAAAATCAGTAAGTTATCCAGTCTCTCTGAGTTCATCAGTTTACAAATGCTCTTTCCATATGCTTTCCAGAGCTTTGTGCGGGCTGATCTATAGGCTAATATCTTCAACTGGAAAATATTTCCCAGAATTAAAATCCAGTCTCATCATGTGAACACATGAATACAGAAATGAAACACGAACAATCTTGATTCTCAAGTACACTAGTAAATGCAGAATAAAATTTTAATTATAAATTAGTAGAGGTAAAACAAATCTGGATCTTTAGCCAAATTTCATACTGCACCACAGTAATATGAATATTATAAACAAATAATCAAAATAAACTTGATTTAATTTTTTTTCTTTAAAGAAATAACACAGATGATCTTGTAAGTACTATTTTGGCTGGAACTGAATGTATAAGTTCCAAATATCAAAAAAAGAGTGCTACACCATAAATCTACTTATCCAAACCCAAGACTTTCTTGAAGAAAAGCCACACCTCATAAGACTTATAGCCTGAACTTTATAGCTAAGAGCTTAGTTGGAGTAATTCAGGAAATCATCCAAAGACAAAATGATTACTGCCCCTTCCAGTCTTCCAGAGGTATGAATGCATGAACAAACTTGCAGGTTTATTGCTATATTCTAAACCCAATAGTCTTTCAGCTATGGTGATGGTGGCAGATATCTTTCCATCCTTTTATGGTACTTCACTTTAGAAACATCACTTTAAAATGATCCCTTGAACACTAACTCATGAATTCCTCAGATAGTTTACAGAAAAAGCCTAAACAAAGTCAAATCAAAAGCTTTAAAAAGAAAAGAGCTAACTACAGATAGGGTGTAAGGAAGCACTTGCTGGTCTCAAAATTTTTAAGAAAAATGGCTAAGAGGAAATATCATTGCAAAGAATATTATGTACAATACCTCCTTTGTAAAAAGTATTTCCCAAAATGTAAAATCATGTACTACAGAATTCATCCAGGGAAAAAAACAGGAAGGAGAAACAGTAGTGACTGAATTGCTCGCCAGATAGAACAGAAAAGCTACGTAGGATTCAATGTGGAAAATACCGGAAGACACATCACCGTTATCCTAAGATACCTCTTAGCTGTATTACAAAATAATATTTTGTAATATTTCTTTGTAAACTTTCTTACAAGTCTGATTGCTTCTTATATCTGAATTTTGTTTCCCAGTTATGACTTAGTTTTTTATATACGTATATTTATTATCAATTATTTTCTGTCTTGTAACTACAGCCCGGTTTTCTCTGTATCATTTGTATTTAGTGATGACTATAGCAAAAAGCAATTGTTTGTCTGTTCTGTGTATAACTAAACTGAGAAGGACAGTTTTGTTTGTCTACTGGTCATCTGATTCTGGTGCATCAGGGCACACAGTAAAAACAATACTGGCTTCTGATGAGCTGAAGAAGAAAACCAGTAAAAAAGCAGCTGTTTAGCAGTACTATCATTACCTACAGAGCAACTCTCATTGCTTATAAATTTGTAATTCAAGACAAGGATTGTTACCTTTTTTTTGGTAATATTTTTTTTTGTTCTAGATTGTAATTGTGCCAAATTCATTACCCTACTTGTCCTTAAAGGTGTGTGCTTAGTCTCAGTCACCTTTTGTATAGACATATTGGTATAAAATTTTGGTATATATGCAACAGCGAGTACTACTGTTTATTTAACAGGTGGAACTTCAATCAAAGACTATAAAAAAGTTCCTGCTGTGTATTTTATGAGACTCTAGAAATCTCACTGCAGTAATACTACAAAGCAGAAATTATACTTTAAATTTAAAATTTAAAAAATTCCCTGTGGACTTTCATAACAAAACTAACCTAGTATCTAGTAGATTTAACCAGTGATAACTGCATACTGCCCACAAACTATTTCTGTTTCCAAAGTCTGTATGTATGTGTCTCATCTAAGAGAGAACTAAGATTCTTTAGTGCCAAATGCATCCTATATTGTTTATGAGACCTTTGGGGACTTTATTAGCTGAAAAGCAAAATGAAATGTGAGGTCAAACTTATCGGTGTGTTGGTTATTTCTCTTCTAAGTGGAGTTGGTATCAAGAATTCTTATGCACTCATTCTAGCTGCTTTGACAGTTACAATTCCATAGCAAGGCTCTCCTTAGTATTAAAGTCACGCAGTGCAATCCTCAAAACACACATAATCATATGTTGATTTTAACTTATGACCTAATGTTTAATAACCATAGAGAAACATGTTATTCCACACACACAGAGTTTACAAGGCAGCATGTATAAACAAATATATAAATGCTACAAAGCAGATTCCATGTATTTTTCTATTTTGTAGAAAGTTAAAAAGTATACACATTTGTTATTTTAAGGGCTGAAACTATACCTTTACCAAAATTCAGCTGTTTTCATATTGTGCATGTATTTAATTTTATCTGGAAACTTTCTGACAATAGAAATAGGAAAACTGTAGTTTCTCATTATGTTTACTGCCAGAATCTATGCTTGGTTGCTCAACTAAAGACCTTATATTGCTAATTACTACCACATGCCTGTATCCCATGCAAAGGAAAACTTATTGGTTCTGACAATCCATTCTCTCAACACTGAATTCCAAATGAAAACTTAAATTTTGGCCAAACATAACATTTCATCAATCTTGTTCTACTGACTGCAAAAGCAACATCAAACAAGGAGTGCTAATGGCTTTTTACTGTGCAGTTCCCAAGCTTAGATTCTCTGATGAAAGACCCACACGAGCAAAGGACATCTTTAAACTACTTCGTAATTAATATTTGAGCTGGAAAACAATGCATAAAGTAAATTGAACAGTTTGTATGCTGGTGACAGAGCTGAGTTTCAAACAACAAATTATATGAGCAGTACAGATCAGCAGAGAAAGCACTGACAACAGAGTGAGATAAAAACAAACAGATAGTGCAAATAAAGAAAGACAAAAACAAAAGGTGAAAAAATAAAATTAAGCAAGCCCCAAAGCTAGCAGAAGCCTGTAATCTGACGCTGAGTTTTTCAGGATGTGGGGTTCTGACTGAAGATCAGGTCAAAATTTAGAGACATCTGAGCAATGCTGGGTACTAGTGACAATGTAGAAGGGGAGAGACTAAAACTGTATGTGAAATAGTTTTTAACCATATACCCCTCTGCTATAACTCTTTTGGAGCTTCAAAAACAGAGGCATATGTTCTCTATTTGAAAAACCTACTCGTTGAGAAACCAAGTAAGAATACAAATATGAAACTGAGTCTATGAAAGTATGCCACAAAAAAACATTTTTGGAAATTCATGATACTATTCTTTCTCAGAAATAAATCAAGGCATTTTATTAATCGAGGTAAGTGATGGAAGTTTCCAACACTGGTGTTTACAGTTTACCCTAGACATTTGAGGGAATCTCAAAAAATGCAAGTATTGAAGTCTACTGTCTAATTGCTTGAATATTATTGAACAGACAATAGTATTCTAATTCTAAAACTTTGATTTATCGACCCAGTGATGCAAAACAGTACTCTAGAATTATCTCTGTGGGCCATTTACAGTCTCTGCTACGCAGAGAGGAGAAACAACCTGATAAAATGTTTCAGGGTGATAATTTGAAAGAAACAAAGTAAAACATTTTCCTAAAGTAAGGAGAGGGAAAAGTAATTAGACGCATTTCTTGCAGTACCTTCTTTATTTTATATGAAAAGGGCCCTCTGTATGACTAGTCTTTCGGGGCAAATATATTTCTACCGCTGAATGTCACAATGATATGTAATGAAATGAAAGATGGCAACATTAAAGGTGATACTGTGCTAGTTCACATTGTATCACCAAGTACATCTAGTTCAGTAATGGCTATATCCCAGCAGGTCTAGATGCTGGGAATGCCAGAAAGAGCTGGTTTTAACTCGGTCATGAAAACAAAGAGGTTTTCAATAGAAACATAATGAGCTAATGTGGTCCAATAAAATTTCACCTTTGCCACCAGGTAAAAATAGTGGGGTTTAGGAGTTTGTTTTTTTACCAAACTATGTTTATATTAAGGCTACTGTCTGCTCTTCTTAGGGTAAGTTTTTTACGGTGTATAGAAGAGAATTGCTTTAAAGTCCCTGGTCATAGATCCTAAAATCATGAGTGTTTGCAATATCCGTAGGAAGTGAAAAGAAGTTGCATGACAATCTGCTGATGGAACATTGAGAAACAGGGCTATTAGACTTCTTACATAGTCAGTCCAACAGAATAAACCGGTCAACTTAAATCTCCTATTTTACACTCCAGTAAAACCAATTCTCTAAAGAACTGAAAATCATGTGAATTATCATTGCATTTAGTTAAGAGATAAACCACACGATAATCTGATGCCCAAAACAGGTAAGTGACAACTCAACCTTGTTCCAGAAGCTAACTGCATATGTAATAGCAGCACTTTTTACAAGATATGTTAGTGCAGTCTTAGTGGTATCCAGGTTCTCTGGAAGTAGGGACAAAATGTTGTGACTTGTACCATAGCATAGCCCAGGTCTCTAATTATAGTGTGACAACTCTCCAGTGGTAACATCTGATGTCAAAGAATACAGCCTTATAAGCTGTGAATCAGCTATTACCACCTTCAGGGGCTCTTTAAAGTCACACAGCCACACCTGGTCTTTTTTGACTTACTTTCTGCCTCGAGTTGAGTTAAAAGTTCCGCCGTATTTCTTCCGATTAAGGATGAGAGCAGCAATTTCTGGCACGTAGCGAGCAAACATTGCCTACATGCATGAAACAAAAACACAAAAAAAAAAAGAAAATGGCATGCAGAGAGTGTTCTACTGCAGCAGAGGCAGCAGAGCCTCTTGGGATACTTACTTTCTTCCACTAACCGCACTATAGGAACCACCATATTTCTTGCGGTTTCCTATTAACTCTATGATTTCAGGGACGTAGCTGGCAAACATGGCCTAAGAAGAAGATAGGAGACAGAAGAAAAGACTAAAAAGAGAGGCCAAAGAAAGGGGGATGATGAATATTTTCAGAAGATATATATTTTTAAGATCTAAAAATGTAAAAGAATTAGATCTATGCAGTTGTTTAAAAAGAAAATTTAAAAAAATGTAAAAGTTCTTATCAAACAAAACAAGAGGGCTCAATGTAAAAGTTGGTCTTGGAGAAGGTGAACGCCTTATAAATAAAGAAAATGGTCAAAAGAGGAAAAATAGACACACAAAACAAGAACAAAATTAATTCAAACTGGTATCTAATCACAAAAAGCAGTTATGTCTATTTCTTCCTGAAGAAGGGAGGGGGAAAAAGTTATCCAAGCCCCACTGCAAAAAAAATCCAAAACCAAGTATTATCATTACTGTTACATTTCTGTTTTAAAATACAGACTTTCCCCCCAGTATTAGAATTTAAAAGAAGACAAAAACCAGATGGAATCAGGGGTTATTTCCCCATCAAGAAACAAAAAAATCACCCCCCGCCCCCCCAAAAAAAAAAACTTTTCCAAAAGTTGTTGGGTTTAGAAGGATTGGAATAACACGTGATAGAAAAAAAGGTTTTAAGGAGAAAATAAAAAATATTCTGCCATGTTTTGTCCAACAAACATCTTCCTTGTGGCTGGATACTTCGAAGAGCTACTGCCATTTGACATGATCTTTGTCTTTGTATGTCAATGATCAGAGATGGGAATGCATATATTTAATGCTCTGTGTGTCTCATATATGGCATTCATAACAATAGTTATATACATATCACCTCTGTAAGATGTATGTATATGTGAAATCAATATGAGAGGGTAAGGTAACAATATACATATGTATGTATGTGCACAATCTATATTACAGTCATCCATAAAGCACTTACCTTGAAATGTGTAAATATTAGAATAAACTTTGCTGTTTTAGAGAACAACATTACTACAGGTCCTATAATATTACTAATGCTGACACATGGTAGAAAAGTTGACATAAGACAATTAGTAACTTGGATGCTATTTACATACAGGACAAAGAACACAAGAATCCTATAAAAGGATCTTGATTATTGTCATGTGATAAATTGTGAGTTAAAATTGCACTACATGACACAAAAAGATGTTTGAAATTAAAGAGAATGTGGTTTGCCATCATCTAGATTAGGCAAGCTGCTCTTTAAGGCAGTCCAAAGCCACAGTGTTTGTTGGAATTCTGGGAAGGAACACAGAAGGGTGGGTAGGACATCTGAAACCGCAAAGTGCCTTTAAATATCAATATCAGCCTCCAAAAAAATGCACTACAGTCAGCCACTAAAACACAGAGGACTACAAATAACATTATAGGTTGAAATATTAAGGCACTTCATGTATTCACATGCATTACTCATTTAAACAAATTAGAAAAATTCTGACTAAACTGGACTAATTTGACAAGCTCTGGAAAATATTTATCTACATGAAAAAAGGGCATATTAAACATATTTGAATGTTTTATAATTAATTTTAGTTTTACTTAATTACAACATTGAGGTATACCAGATCAAGTACTAAGGTAGCTGGAATGATAGGAAGAATTAAAAAAAAAGAGTTTTTACCAATCCCCCAAGAATGAAGAAGACCATGAAAAGGCGACCAAGGGTTGTTTTTGCATAAACATCTCCATAGCCAACAGTGGACATTGTAACCATCAGTAAATAAACACATTCCCAATATGTTAGCGGTTGATTATTTTGGAAGTTTTCCCATGGATCCCCTGAGTTCTCCACCTAAATATAAAAGAAAAGATATAATGAATTAATAGAATTGTATGCCAAATTAAATCTAACCATATATGCATGTGTGTGTATAAACATATAATATGGCATATAATATGAACTCTGAATCTCCTGTGATTTATTTTGAACAAGTACAGAACCTGACCCTGTCCCAAATATAGCACTACAATTCTTTTGCCAATATACATAGCCTTCCCACTCATACTATTTATGGAAAGTATCTTTTCCATTCCCCACTAAATAACCTACTAATGTGCTTAGGTGAGCTCATTTAAAAAAAATTCTTTAGAACATTTTCAGAGTGAAACTTATGGGTAATGCAATTATACTCCTTAATGTTTTTGTTTTAAAGGACTATGTAGCTATTAGGCATTACTGACATGTTTAGTGATATGCTACTACTTTTTCAAAAAGCCAGCTGCTGTTGCGACAAAATTATAAATTTATCAGTGGCAAAAGAGCATGCCCTCTAAAATTCGTTCCACAGTAAAAAGTTGAAGTTTGAGTATTCCTATAGTAGAATAAAGAAACTTACACTGAAAAGCAAAGGGGGGGAAAAGTCCAAATCCTAGAAAATAGCATTCCCTCAGTCTTGATGTAACTTTTAAAGAGTGGTGGGGTTTTTGTGGTTTTGTGTTCAAAAAAAGAAAAAGCAACTATTTCTGTGATAGAAATGCAATATTTGCTCAGAGGAGTGTAAAAATATGGTCCTACGTGAATGAGAAATATATCAGAAATGAAAACATCCAAAATCTCGGTGCATCTTTATAAGAGTGAAAATTAAATGACAGATATATCAAGAAAATAAATATTTTGAATTTAATCTTACACAGTTGGATGCAGCTCAAGTTAATTCAAGTGAAGTCAATGAAATTGCTCCAGACTGACATCAATATCATTAAATTTTATTACTAGTCCAAAACATTCCTTAATAACTTATTACTACTAGCAGCTCAAAATTTTCCTGATTCTATGTTGATCACAAAATGTACTTAAATGACAACCACTTAATCATATTTTATTATATTTACCAAACAACTCAGTAAAAGCTATTAGTTTAAAACACACACTTGACATACACCTATCGTTCATATGCATATTCACATTTATGAACTCATGTAGTTCTACACTATTTTACATTTTTCAGGTATTGTTAAGTGCAGAATAGAAATCTACTACAAAAAAACTGTGTTGTCAGTGACTGAAAGCTACACCTAAACAATTTGAAATTTAAAAACAAAAGACAAGGAAATCATCTCTAAACAAATCGCAATCCAGAATGTTAGCAATCCCATTACTTCTCCTGGAAATACAGAACTGTGTGCCTCTGACACAACCATGGATTTCCCAGGACCTCTGTCTCGCTCCAAGTCTGCCAACCGCCCCCAGGAAGCACTCGCAGGAGTTCTTTGGGAAGCACTGCCACCTCCTGGTAAATCGTCATCGTTTCACAAGTTGCACCACTCCAAGTCTCCTGCTTCATTGCTGAGGTTAATGATGTCTGTCTTACTACTCCCAACTAGTTTTGAGTAGAAGCTTAAAATCTGGGAAGCTGTGATGCCTTTTTATTGTCCTCTGTTGATGTGTTAAGGGATTATACAGAGCAAGGCAATTGCAGGAAATAAAGTAGCTCAGAGAGCAGAAGATCCATGATAAAAAATCCATGAAGTACTTTCAGATATACTTACCAAATGTATGAACCCAGCTGCTGTCAGCCACGTGCTGATAAATATAGAGCACAGATTCACTAGCTTGATGGAATTACTGAAAACAAACAAAACAAGTAGGAACTTAGACTAGAATTTGTCACACATTTTCTGCACATACCTGTATAAAACCGCATACTTCAGACTAAAAAATCTGATGATTATTTCCAAAGAGGAACAGACTCCCTAAAAAAACTTAATCAAAAGCTCACGCAAAATATGTATTATTTTGTCTTGGCAGAGTTCACATTTTCATCATTTAGATAGCTTGAAAGGAAAGTTCCCATGTATGAGAGCAGTAGATATGGCTACCTCTGTACTCATAAACAAATAATGTTTTTTCACAGATAATTTGGTTGCCTCTCAGTACACTCACCTCCTTATTTTTTATTGCTGTACACCTCCAAGTTATTCACATATAAATACATAAAAAAATACATGAGAAAGTTATGATTCCCAAACTAAATATCAAAGGCATTTTACAGTTCTCGTGTAAAGTCCTAAGTAATTTTCATATTATTCTGCTGGTATGAACTCCTACGGACTACTTTATGGAAATTCACACTAAATTGGAGCATTTCATTGTTCGTATTCACATTTTTCTTTTAAAAATGAGAAAAAGTAAAATTTAAACAATGAAAAAAGTGATATTTAAACCTACCAATCAAACTCTGCAAATATTTTTTAGTCCCATTGAGTAGTATGTTCCCTATTGTAGCCAAAAATGATTTTAAAGCAAGGACCTCATTCAGTTCAGGAGGAAAATACCATACTTAAAATCTTCTGGAAGAAATATAAATAAAACTTGCTCCCTCTCTTCTCACAAAAATCATTATCCTAAGAAGGATATTCAACACATACACAAGGAACTGCAGTCCGTGTATGACTGTATTTAAACAATCTTACCCATTCATGGAATTGTACTGGAAATAGTTCTCTGTTTTGAAAACATTTATGAGAAGGTATAATACCTCAGAAAAAAACCTCAATTATTCCTAAAGTAATAAATTCAAAAAAGATAAAAATTGGAAAACAATCACAGTAGTAGTTTTGCAGTAGAATTAATTAATATTTCTATTTATAACTACTTTAGGGACAATAAAAATGCATTATTTTCTTTAAAATATTGAGAAAAGAACTTGGAAAATTAATCAGACCAACTTCATTAAAAACAATTTTAAGAGTTACAATTAGTGAAGTGGGCATCTTGAGGCACAAGGAAAAGAATATAACTGGTTAATATGAAAGATGTGGTAATAAATATTATGCTCAAAAATAAAATAATATACTGGCTATCCTGCCATTAATCAGTGCTCACCTACATCAACACATATTACCTGTCTCTCTCTTTCTTAAGGTATGGTTTGATTAAAGTTCCTATTTTGTTGGTGTTAACATTCAGTTATAGCACAGGACCCAAACCAACAGGTTCGTGTACTAAACAAAATCATAGAAGTCATGCTAATGCGAAGCTCCATTATGAAAGGCCAAAGACCATCATTCACCTGAACTTAGAACAGGAGATGTTCCTAAAAAAATAATGTGTCAGTCCAAATATTACTGCAATACAAGTAAATGACAGCACCTACTAATAACTACATTACTTGTTTGGTACATTTATTTCTGCAGATTTATTAAACACTGTACCTTGTCTCCCCTCTATGAAATACTCCCTGTGCTTCCGCCAGAGTCTAAATATAGATGAAGGATTAGTCACAAACATTTTCCCCCTCTTTAAGCTCTTTCCAACATCTGTGCAAAATCCCTTACTGTGAGCCCTGCCTAAGCCTCTGTAGTTTTGTTGAAAAATAATATTAGAAAACAATGAAGGAGAGAAATTTTCAACCGAAAACTGCATAAATCAATTTCATCAAACACGAGAACAAAAAATATTGAGTAAAAGATATTTCATTTCAAATTAGGGAAATAAACAAGTCCTTGGCAGAGTATGGTGTTCTAATACAACATTGTAAAATTTTGTTTTTTCTTACTGGATTTTTTCAAACACATTTAGCAATTTTTCAGACAGTCTAATCATTATCTAACACTTTGCTAGTCTCCTTACTGCCTCAATTTCTGCATTGTTTAGCTTCTTCCTTTGGATTCCAGTTTTTGGAATGGCCCTTCTGCTCATTGCGTAAATAATATATGTTCCTTTAATCTGCATATCTCAGTCACTAATTCTAGCAGTAATTTTAATTTATAGGTTAGAATAAAGGTTTCTCTTTACTGGGGAAAAGAGGAAAAGGAGGAGAGAATTTCTTCTCCAATTACACTAAATATTAAAAACACAGCAGTGCCCACTATACCCTATCAGTTCCTCATCTTGTTAGTAGTTACGTGTTATTAATGCCAGACACATTAAAATGCCTCTAGTTGAATTGGTTCCATATTTTTTTCATATAAATACATATCACCTCAAACAGAGAACTATCCTTTGTAGAATTTAAAAACATAAAAAGCGTTGGGGTTTTTTTTCCCTATATATAACTTCAGAGCTAGTAATGATATACTGAATTTGCTATTCCAGTTCAACAATTCAAATTCCGTCATTAATCCTTGGTCTTTATGTTCACAAACAAACTACAATATTGAAAATGTCATTAAAACCTTAAAAGTGGATTGCAAAAAGTGCTACAATGTTTTAATTCTAGAAGCTTTTTAACCATCCCTGAGCAAAATAATGTTGCAGTAGCTGGGCAAAAGCATACAATACAATATAAGATTTTAAATTAATAATAATGGTTTAAGGCCATGGTATGTAAATGAAATCATTGCTTGAATTTAGGGAAGTAAATTTTATTTAAATAAAATTAGATTTGTTGAGGCTACTAGTTTAACTGCCCTAACTCTTGCAAAATTACCAAAGATTCTCCACAAGGGCTCAGCATGCCTTTTTTCAGGTGCAAATAAAAAGTTTTCTAAAATAAATAACATTCTGTTCATTTGTTTTAATTTGACATACCAATTTTACAAAAATATGTTTTGTGAACATGAATAGCATTCCAAACTATTTAGGTAATTTCTAGTTATTAAGTAAAATACAGAAGAGAACAGACATGACTTTCTATTGCAGAACCAGGAAAAATAAAAACTGTTTTGAGGAAGTGACAGTTTTTAAGTAAAATAAATGGTGCTAATAATGAACTGCTAAGGATTAATTAGCTGACTGAACTAAAACACTCACACAAGAAAACTTTCCTTTACAGTCTTTCAATAATCAACTTTTGAGTTTTACAGATACTTGGATGGTGACATTAATTACAGAGAATATGATATCTATATCTAATAGCAGAGCAAATTTTGCACCAGAAAAATGCTATTTCAATGAACAGGTCAATCTTGAATAAACCAGCTCTGAATACACTGAATGTGATTAATGTAGTATCCCTTCATTTACGGATCTGGAATTTCACAAATCCCCAACTGCTCAAGGGGCTATTAGCTTTTATCCAAAATCCTTTGAGTTTATGGGGCTTCTCCATTGACTGACATTTCTTATGGCAAGGTTGTTTTGTCTGTTAAATGTAAACTCATCGGATATTCTGAGCTCCTGCACAAATTGCTCTCCTTTACCATCCCAGTGGTATTATAAGCTATGGGACTTCACTGCACATTCTTTGGTGTCTTTATTTGACAAGAAATGGATTCCTTACAGTAACACAGCTAAAGTTTTGCAGCAAAGGAAATAGTTTCAAGGTTAAGGGTTGAAGAAACAGCTATTTACCATGACTGTGTACAAATCTCAGGACCTACTTAACCACTACTATCAATTATCACAGCAAGAAATGGAGCTACCTGCATATAAAACCCTCACACATCAATATCAACTTGTGCAGAGAGCAGAGGATTTCAGAATGGAACTGAGTTTAGAGTAATTATTGGAAGCTGGGTTCAATACTTCCCCTGGGGCATTTTAGAAAATGATGAAAAGCAACGTCTTCAACTGCAAGGCATAGGAAGGTTTCTTTTTATTTCCTTCAAAGCGATCTTTTGTCCAAAACTGTGATTCTTCTGTACAACTAACATGTATTAATAGCCCAAAGAACCAGTAAACCAGAACATTAATTGGACTATTTTAATTATTATATGAAAGAAATACTAAGGACAATGAATACAATATAAAGAAAGCTCAGTGTACTTTCTAATATGTTTTTGATGTGAAAAAGGATGATCAGTTCAAAAAAACTGAAATAGAGCCACAATGATAATTTCTCAAGATACTTTTTAACTGTATTCTGTTGAATGAATTTTGATTTCCGTTTTTCCAGGACAGCAGAACATGGACTGATTATATGGAAAGAAACAATGTTTAATCAGTGCAAAGCTATGTAATTCATTCTAATTTATCAACACACAACCTTGTTTGATATTTCAAATGTAAGAACACATCAAAATCTACTGATCACATAGCAAAAGATGCCCACTGATAAATCATTCATTGGCAGAAAAAGGTTTAAAGAAGAGATAGCAATTGGAGTTTTTTTCCAGGAAAGAAAATCATATATTACTAGGATCCCAAATTTAAGCCATTCATGTTACCAATGAAATTAACTCAGTACTTAAGAAAAAGCCTTACCTTGTTTTAAGTATATTCAGAAACTGCAAAATTTCTGAAAACTGTATCAGTCTAAGGGCTCTTAAAAATCTTAAACCTGCAGTAAAGGAAAAAAAAAGCTATAGTAAAGAATAATTCAAATTATAACAACATATCACAACAACAGTGATCAATTAAATCAACACTGGTAGCATACAAAATGTCAAATACCTTTGAAATGCTCTTCCATATTTAATTGTTCCAAGATCCTTAATAGGTCTTTTTCAAATTGTTTTAAATTTATTTTCCTAATAACTGATGTATCCTACCAGAAAACATTAGTTTATGTAGGAAGTCATGGGTGGAGACACACAGGCTGAAAGCTAAAGGGAAAAAACCTCACTGAGGTTGCTGGTAATTCTAATGCACATGTCCTTCTCTTCCAGGCTGTCAAAGACACATGCAGATGTGGAACGCCTCAGTCCTCCAAGCTCCCATGTTGCTTAGTGAAAAATAAGAGATTATGGGCAAGAGATCTGATAACCTGGATAAAGTAGACTGTATATGCCTGATTAAATTCGTAAATCTTAATGACGTAAAATCTTTTATTGTAATAATGCTCCTCATCTCCACCCTAATTTCAAAAAACTCAAGCAGAACAGAAAAATGACACATTTTCTCTTAAAAATGGCAAATTAACTATATTTCTTTCCATCAACCTATAACTGTAGGAGTACATTACACTCCAACTATTAAAGAAGCAACTATTTTTAAAAAGAAATTGCATTTTTATGTAGAAATCAGGTTGCGTGCATAGCAATTCCCAGACAACCACAAAGTTGGCAAGACAGATACAAAGAGAGTTTGTGCAGGAGAAAATACTATAGGAGATTAAGGGATTAAATTATTAAAATAGTCTTATGCTGATAGTAAATTATTTGGCTGCAGATCTTTGGCATATGAATAAAAGTACATTGTGTATTATACATATGCACAGCTTATAAAATTAAAATAAAGCTTGGAGGATAATTTTTATTAGAGAGTACAGCCAGGAGTTACATAAAAGTTGTGTAACATGGTATTGCAACTGTTACAGTGAGGTCCAGGGCAGCTTCTTCTCATACATTCTCATTACTGACATTTATTTTACCCACTTCCAGTGCTAAAAACCATTTTTTGTTTGTAGAAACTTAAGAAAGACATCCTAGCAAACATAAAAACCTGGTCACAACTTTTATCATCTCACTGGAATAAGAGGCTCCCCTCAAGAGCAAAAATGTATGTGGAAAGATGTGTTTAAATCATGACATTTTTCCCCGCAGTATTCTTGGAAGGTTGCTAAATAAAATTTTTACTCTTGCTAAGGCTTATAAGTAGCCCTGCTAAGTGGCCTTGTTAAGACTCATAAGTAGTCTTAAAGCACATTCCTGTCTATTACACGGATATAAAGTTTCTTTTTAATTACTGACTGCAGGGAACTCTGAAAATTAATCACAACTTACTAAATGGATTTCGAGATCTAGATGAAAAGTAATAAAATGAAGCTTAATAATTATAAATGTCAGATCTATTTGCAATTAGAAGGTCATAATTTTAGATCATATTGCTGAAACTGCAAGACACGTCCCTCTGATCCACTTCCAGTAGTTCCCACAGTTGCTACTCCTATCCAAAGAGAAGCAGTTGGTCAGGGAAGGAGAGGATCTTTCTCAGCTCTGTTCCATCCAGTCACCTTCCTTACTCTTCCATACCCCTATGAACTTCTTTGAAAAATGGCTAGAGGAAGAAAAACCTTTCCTCAGTACTGTCTGAAGTTAATGAGATGACCAAGTTACTCGTTGCCATGTTTCAAAAAGAAATCTGAGAAACATCAAAGTTAGCAATAACACCTCTATCTCCAAACCAATATAATGGTTAAGATACATCTAAGTTGCTAAGACATCAAAGAATAGAACAAAAACACTACGGCTTCAATGTATTTTCTGTGAAAGAAGAAAATCATTAAGGATGAAGTTCTGCATTCGCTACAGCCCACACCACTTTAAAGAATTTCCTTCAGAGAATATAACTTAACAAAAAAAAAAAAAAGTGGAGCGTTTGCTTGAACAGTTTAGCTACAAAATAGAACTGGCTTTCAATTGTAAAAGCTAAAGGAATTATTACATGGAAGAGATCAAATAATAATTTTGAGAAACTTCAGTGCATTAACTGCTTTGTGTGGTTCAAATACAAAAAAACCAAAAATTAAATGAAAATGACAGTTTTCCCTATCATGATGGCAAATTAATTCTTTCCAGTATTCTACAGTTTTCAAGACACAAAGAGATCTGCTATTAAATTCCTATATGCATGTCATTTCATGTGCTTTCCATAGAATTATACAATAGTTTGGGTTGGGAGGAATCTTTAAAGGTCATCTTGCCCAACCTCACTGCAATTAGGAGGGACATCAGCTAGATTGGGTTGTTTAATCTGACCTTGAACTCTCTTAGCCTTTCCTCATAGCAAAGGTGTTGCATCCCTCTGATCACTTTTGTAGCCCTCCTTGGGACCCACTCCAACAGGCCCATGTCCGTTTTCTGCTGAGGACCCCAGAGCTGGATGCAGTACTCCAGGTGGGATCTCACAAGAATGGATTAGAGGGTAAAATCTCCTCCCATGCTGCTTTTGATGCAGCCCAGGATATGACTGGCCTTCTGAGCAGTGAGTGTGCATTGCTGCCTCATGTCCAGCTTTTCATCCATCAGCATCCCCAAGTCTTTCTCTGCAGGGATGCTCTCAAACCCTTCCTCCCCAAGTCGGTATTGACACTGGGAGTTGCCCCAGCCCTGGTGCAGGACCCTGCACTTGGCCTTGTTGAGCATCAGAAGGTTCCCACGGGTCCACTTCTGAAGCTTGTCCAGGTCCCTCTGGATGGCATCCCATCCTTTAGGCATGTCAACTGCACCACTCGGCTTGGTGTTGTCTGCACATTTGTTGAGGGTGCACTCAATCCCTTCGTCCATGTCATTAATGAAGATATTAAACAGTACTGGTCTCAATATGGACCCCATGAGGGATACCACTTGTCACCTATCTCCACCTGTACTTTGAGCTACTGACCACTACTCTCTGGATGCAACCCAAACAATTCCTCATCTTCCAAACAGTCCAACCATCAAATCTTTCTCTCTCCAGAAGGAGAAGGATATTGTCGGTGACTGTGTCAAAGGTCTTACAAAAGTCCAGATATAATACACCCATGGCTCTTCCCTTGTCCACTGACGCAGCCACTACATCGCAGAAGGCCACTTGTTTGGTCAGGTGGGACTTGCCCTCGTTGAAGCTGTGTTGACTGTCTTGAATCACCTCCCTGTTCTTCATGTGCCTTAGCATAGCTTAGAGGAGGATGTATTCCATGAACTTCCCAGGCACAGTGGTGAGGTTGACAGATTGGTAGTTCCAAGGGTCCTGCTTTCTACCCATTTTAAAGATGGGTATAATTCGCTTTTTTAAGTCACCAGGGTCTTCACCTGACCGCCAACAGATGGCTATTCCAGAATAATGTAAAAAAAAGAGCTCTGAAAACTGATCTGAACAAAACACATAAAAGGATGGGATGATGTCAGGGCTGCAGCTGGTAGGTTTGCATAACCTTATTTCCAGGCACTCATAGTATCTTGCTTTCAGAGGCTGAGCATACAACCATTATTTAGTTCACTGTTTGCAAGTGAAAACCACTATTCCTGCCGTTTCTATAAAACCATTAGCATAAAGAGTCAGTCTGCCAAAACAACTCTACATAGTAAGGAGAAATTACAGTGCACAACGCACCAGTGTGCACACCTCCCCAGCAGGTGATACCTGCAAAGACTTTGTGTGGTCTATTGGTAATATCCACTAATACTAGATGAACCAAAGCAGACAGGAAAGGGGAATTCACATTCCTCAATAATTATTTCTAAAACTTGTCCGTGAAAGAGATAAGAGGTGCTGCCTTTGAATGAATCTGTTTGGTTCAAGCATGGACGGTTTGATCCTCTAGTGAATGATGTGCATTTTGAAAGACTGCAGTTAATCCGGAGGTTTAAGCCTTACAAAAAACTGCAGTTGAGAATGAACTGTAAGGATGAAACTCAGACGAAATGAGTTTGCCCCTAAATGTATGGTTATTTATATCACCTTTAACTTAGCAAGGGGATGATGTGTCAACTGAATAATTCTGAGAGAAAAAGTCCACAAAGCACTTTATTCTAGTGCTGGTACTAATGACCTGTGGAAGTGTGCTTGCAATCATACATGCACGTCATCCGTAAACTGATGACACAGTAATCCTCACAGCAATAACTTTGTTTCAATGAGACTGCTGTCAAACTAAAACCAGCCTAAATTATTCAGTAGGTAGCTTACTATGAATCCACATAAGGTCAATATTAAAATAAGTTAAATAGAAAAGATTTTGATTGGTCTAACTTAAGAGTAATTATTGACAAAATGTCTGTAAAAAATAGCCTGTCTATTACGATTTACATGTAATCAGTAACACAACGCCCCATCCTATGCTCTCTCACTGTTTTCAAATCAAATTTAACTCACAACTAAGATGATTTTATCTCTTTCAGGCCTAACAACTCACCAAGGTTGAAGTTTATTTATGCATCCAAAATAGCAAGCAAAATTCTGTAACAGGAGCACTCACAAAAATTCCCCCTTTCCCAAAGCTGTTTCAGCTAAATACACAAATGTGTACAGCTCTCTTTCCTTAACATTTGGGAACATGTTTTATACATGTGGGGAAGATTCTTTTAACATGAAATACCTAATAAACTGGTTTACATTTAAATTATATAATCAATAGTTCAGAAAGGATAACTTTCTTATGTATTACTGTAAAGTCTATTCTAATTTTGCACATTTCATGGATCCTGTCTGCTAAAGTTAATTGCAAACTGCTGAAGAGGATGCTCAGGAAGAGCTTGCTACGTTGTCTCCATCATGTAACTCACCTTTTTCTTGGTAAGAGGTTTTATATCAGAATTTTCTCATGGGATCTGACTAGAATAGGATATAAGCTTCTATACTAAAATTTATACCAAAAAATAAGTACCAAAACATTGAATTTACCTAGAAAATCTCTCT